AGTTGTCACGAGAAGATGCTGCATGTTCATATAATGCAACATCTAAGTAGGATAGGTGTGCAAAAATTTACAAGTTGGACAAGTGGAAGTATTGTCTTCGCATCAACAAGAAAACCAGGTTTGTATCTGGACGTTACAGGTATTACCTGGGGAAAAATAAAGTTTGAAGCCAATACTTCTATTGTAACTGTTTGTACTTTTTGCCTGAGATAATAGTGAAAAGTTTATGAAGGGATGTATGCACGGGCTGTTTACATATTGTACTTCAATGATGGTTCCAGGACTGTAAAATTCATGCACGTTAATACCATCCCACGACAAAGATTCATAATCTTGATGAATATTGTGGCTAAAAGCAAGATATCTTCACTTTTCCAACTCCAGCGTCCAGAGACAACAGACTTGTGTGAATGCGCCAAATGGACTTCCAGGAGATTTTGTGCGCTGTTTTCACCGGTCGTGACAGCCGCGTACTTCTATTTCGATCCTATTTAAAAATCCATCACAACTGGACGACGGTTCTTCTGACGTTTATTTACCTGTACCAAGTCAGCTGATCCGGATGGTCTGCATCTATACCATCCCAAAAAACAATTATCGCTTAAAACTTCGGTGCACGTTTTTCATAACGCAATACAGTATGCTGTGGAACAAACTTCCCGCTCCATACGAGCATGTCGATCTGTAGGCCAGTTTCAACGACTACTTAGTGAACTCCTACCTAACGATTCACATCAGTTCATTGACGGCCAAGCCACAAACGGTAATACCATGTACAATAGTGCCACTGGTACCTAGACTTATGGAAGACTAACGGCAATGACAAAAGTATACAATGCCAAAAACTAAACGTATTAGTTAAGTTAAAATCTAATTTCTAAAAAGGAAAACTGACCACGTGTGGACAGGAAGCGCAGTATGATACGATTTGCAACAGCGAACTCAGTTGCTACTCTAATGTAGCCTACATTTCTTCATAACCTAACTCATCTCACGACTTTACACCTATTTCTTAAAATTCATCCCTTAAAATAATCTCTCCACTGCCGATTGATAAAACTATCTATGGGTGCATTTTCATAGCATGCAACATGTTTTGTTATTTGCCCTTTGTTATCAGTACTTACACGTAAGTACTCTGTACCACCGTGTTGTTTCGGTAGCCCCGATACGGTAATACTCAACAGGCAACACCATGATCATCCCTCCCCTGTGACTTGATAAAGGGTGGTTCCATCGTAGAAAAAACCATGAATTTCACTTAAATGTTCATAAGTTCATCAAACGTTTGTACATAGGTATATAACAAGTGAATGCCTGGTCCAAAATCCTCTGATCTCTCTATTTCGTAGTGATATCTTCGGCTTCAGACCAATTTTCATTGCTGTCATGCGCACCTTCATCTTCTCCCACCTAAGCTTACCTCTAAACAGTAGGTTTGGGATGCTTCTTCAGGTAAGTTTCGTAGTCAGTACAAAGAACTCACCCATATGTTTCATGGTTGATCTACTCCTGAGTACTTTTGTGCTCCTGTTTCTAATTTTGCCCACTGCTCGCTTTTGTTATTCACTTTTCGGGTTTATCTGTTCAGTCCTGCATTCAAATGGAATCCTAGAAATCGCATTTGTCAGTGTGCACCTTGCCGTCAAAACCTTATGACTAACGCACACACCCCAAGGTCATGACCGTAACGCCTGCCCCACCTTCAAGGATATTGGAAGATTCAAACGACAGCAGAATAATTCCTAATTTCCAACTGAGCCTGCTTCAACACGCCTCTTACATGCTATGAATAACGGTATCTAATGTATAGCTTAACGCTGTGCATAATAGTCATTTTTTGTTGCCACAATGATCAAACCTGTAAACTGGTTTGTATTCATGTAATCTGTGTTGTATGAAATATACATATTATTATTATATTGTTGTGTAAGGTAACACGACAAGTGGGAATTCCTTGAACTTGGATATTCAAGTGGTTTGCATGGTCATGTTGGCACTTACTGATGTCTGAGATCCATGAAGTGAGTTCTTGTTGTCCAACGGTACCATAAATATGTGAATTGATGTTAGAATAGGTGTTTATCTGATGAAACATGGAACCAAACAAACGAGTACAGCGTCCCCGTCACTCATAACGCCGTCGCCGAATATTGCATGACTTTGATACCACTTTATTGTGAAAAAAGAATGGTGAACGAAAACGATAGAAATTCGCAGGCAATCTGCATGTACTATAAAATGGTATTTTCCTGTTCTTGTCCCGACTTATAGGCACCTTCAGTATTATGACAGTTTAATGTTATCTCCTCTGTATCATTCAAGACAGCTCAAATGTTGGGGATTTCTCTACCATTATCAACTTGATGATACATGTAAACCGGGTTCTCCCACTTCAGTTGCCTAGTCTGAGAATAGAATATTCGTTTATTATTAATGTCCGACGATAACCGGTGTAAGAATGAATGGAATCCATAGTTCTGGAACCATTAAAGAACAGCGAATGACGAACCACACGCATATATTCATTCACGAGCTTAACATCATCAATAATGGGTAAAAATATGGCAGGTAACAACGCGAGCAACTAGCTTCAAGCTTTTATTTTTCCACAGACAATCGTTGTGATACCTGAACGCAAACCCCGGATGTTTCGTCAATACTAAGACAATAATTCCAGTTGTTCACGACGTCCATCTGTGCATACTTATTCTGTTGCCATCCTACATTTTATTGACCTGCAGTGCAGGCATTCCAGCGATCAAAATTACTCGCCCCAATGCAAAATGCAATCTACATATAGATTTATTCACACCCATGGAAATGGTGTGTACATGTATATTCAGATATATATACTACAATATACCACCTTTTGCAATTAGGATATCCATGAATGCCGGTCGTCCGTCGGTTTCCTCCACTTTCAGGAGCTCTGGTCCTCTCAAAGAATTATTGATTGGTTTCTGGGTAGACTCAGCATAGTTTCCGCCAAGGCTGACAAACGTGTCCTCCGATTATTGCAGCCACAATTTAAGCTCGACGACTAGCCGGGTTATTAATTCGAGCCACAGCATGACTGCTTTAGCGGGTGTTCCAGAGATCGGTGATTCCGTTAGAGTTCCTGTCGTTACTGGAATTAACAGAGGCCGACAATAAACGAAGAATGGGGGATTTGTTCTCGTGTTTGAGGTTTTGGGTGCAGTATCCCTGTTTTTTCGTCTATTTTCCAATTGATTTTAGACAAACTGGTTGCCACAGGAGTTCTTTATATGCCTGATTCAGTAGAGGAAACTGTTTTTCCACTTAGTATGTTTTCATTTCCCTTAGTCTCAGTATTAATTACTTCAACTTGCACATATTTACCCTTCTAATTGCTTCTAGATTGCTCATCAAGTGCAGCACCCCCCTTGCCCATCAAGGGAATCCATTTCGAAGTCACGTTTGTGGGAAAGCACCCTGTGAAAGCTAGGTTATTGAGAATAAGTGTCCCTTTTGTGTATCTGTTCACGTCATGACCATCATTATTACAGGCTTGGGGCCCAGTTATTTTAGGTCCGTTTTCTTTGTAACTGCATTCTAGGGCGGTCACGCTACAAAACATTATTCGTCTTACTGAAGATAGCTTGCTGAAAGGCCTCAGACGTTGACTGCTTTTTTGAGAAATTGAATTTAATCAGGATTCGACTATCGCTCATTATCTGGTTATCTTCCTACCTGCGATGGCGTTCATTTAGATTTCGATGAAGTCTCTCTATTACTGAAGAGCAGAATATCCCAGTAGTTTTCCTCTAGGCCCAGTACCAAGGCTTCTTCTTTTTCCAACATACATAAACTACTAACCTCAACAGGCTTCTTACGAAATCATCTTCTTTGCCGACGTCGTGAAGGCCAAACTAAGTGGGGAAATCAGAAGTGAGGAAGGCAGTGTTTCTCTACAGGAAATCTTAACCCGACTTGAAAACTGGGCAGTCAAAAATGGGCTGGCATTTTATCCTGAGAAATGCAAGGTGATAAGCGTAAAACAAGATGCATTTCATGCATATAACTTCAAGTGCATGGAACTTGAAGCGTCACCGACAGAGGAGGATTTAGTCGTCTTAGTCCATCAAGACTTAAAATCTTGTGCCAGCTGTGGCGGAAACGCGTTTAGTGGAGACTTAGTGTCGGTGTCAGACGAAATTTCGGGCATTTTGATCGTAGATGCTTCCACCAAGTTTTCAACAGCTTCACATAGCCTCATTTGGAGTTTGAGACTATTGTATTCTACTCTTTTTTCCAAGACAAACTAAGCTTGGAACCCCTCCGGAGGCGCTCGACGAAATCTGTTCGAGGACTTGGGTCTAAAACATATTAAGAACGACTGATTATGCCGGACCAGTATGCACTGGAACACAGGAGGCTAAAAGGAGACTTGATAATTGCTCGCAGAATTCTGAGTACACCTAGACACCTACCCAGTCACTTATTAAATCTTAGCCGTAGCAGTAATCTTAGGGGGCACAAACAGAAACTGAGCCTGGAACATGGCAGGTTAGATATCAGACACAACTTCTATCCCTCAGGAGTTGGTACCCCTTGGAACGCTCCTCCTGCAGATGCGATCCAGGCAAATTCGTCTGAGTCGTTTAAACACTGACTGGATACTTACTCGACATGTGACTGGGAACTAATTTAATTTTCACATTTTAACCGTCACTTTTTCCTCTTTCTTCACTTGTACACAGGTTGACAACCAAAAGGAGTAGTGATCCACGAACTTTAGACGCGGAATCCAGTTAGGCGAAAGCTTATTCTATTCCGTCAACAACCATCTAAAAACATTTGAATCGGCAAGCAGAAAAGTTTAACGCAGCTTATGAAAAAATGTCTTTGATGAACGCTTAGAAACAGAAACAAGAACTTCACAGAGTAATATTTCGCGAGGTGGATACAACCTACCTGGTCTGTTGTTTATAAAGAGAAAACTGGAAGTTGCCACCATTGAAAACTGAATGGTACTGTTGTCATAGTTTTAAAGCGTCCGCTTTTAAAAATGCACAAAACTTTGAGAGCGAAATGTATATTGATGGGTTGGTACTGTTTTAGAGTGATAACAATGTATAGGAAGCCCAGCTTGCGGGAAAACATCTATTGTTCAGTCATTCTGCAGTGAAGGTAGAGAATTTTCGCAGAATTATTGCATGGTAATTTATAGCTGTCAATAATGCCATCATTTTCAGTCAACGGCTGTAGAATTAACTGTCAGGACGGTAATAATACCGGAGGCAAACGACAATATTGTGCGGTAAACTGAGAAAAACTCAACTTATTCTACAGGAGCTTTTCTTATACAGTACGCCAGGGAAGGAAGTTTTTAATGATTTTACAAAGCATTATGTAAGAGATTTTCTCAATCTATGCTGTAGCTTGACCTAGTTAATGTCATGGTTGTTGTTTTTGATGTAAATGATATACAAAGCTTTTCTGCTGCAAAGTTGATAGTATCAGAGTCCCGAAAAGAATCCAACCACATGTCCATACCAAGTAGGCATTGTTTTATGTCGTACAAAGCCACTTCAGTTGCTCTTGTTGGCAATAAAATAGATCTTGGTTTAAGACGTGTCACAGATAAGGAGAAGGCTCAGAAGTTTGCGGACGAACAGAATATTCCATACTTCGAAACATCTGCTGTAAGTCTTGTGCTTTCTTTTGTTTTCATTGCCATTCATGATAATAATTTTGATTGTCACAAAACGTAGGGGTGACATGTTTGTTTGCCATGAATTTCAACTTTGTTCACAAAATGCTGGTGTCTAGAGAATCACAGATACAAGTGATCATGGCAGTATTCAGCTCTCTAGTGACTATCTTTCATATCTGAACCCCTTAACTCCCATGATTGTGTTTTCAAGGCCTACAACTGATTTTAAACTGCGATTCAGTTTTTGTTTACCAAGCCTGTTTATTTTCGGAATTCTCTACAGTATCTGGGACGTTCAAGTGAAGAGATCAATCTTCATTGGTTGTGCTGATCACTTCAATAATCATATATATGCCTTTTGCTCAGTCCCTTTTGTAATGGACAATTTCACTTTGGTTATTAATAAAGGAATCATCAGGAATTGAACTACCCTGCCAAATAGACAGAAGTCAAGAACTAATAATCAACAGAATTCTTTATATACTGTAAGTAGAATAAATAGAAATAAGTAATAATGAACATTCGTATAGTACGGTAATTGAAGTAGTCATTCACCATACCTTTCCAGTAGATTTGAAACACCTTTCAACAGTAGGCTTGCTGAATGTAAATACTGCAGCCCTCAGGTTGCAATGTACTACGAATTGCGTAGATTTAGGTTGTGACTGAAGGTAAGTAAGTTCAACCCATGGGATGCATTCCAATAATTGGGCACAACTGTACGCTTATTCGCGTTAGCAGACACCTACTTTTTTTTAAACCCGGTGAAAAGGTCATTGAGATCATTTTTAATGTGCACAAAGAATGACCACATAATTTCTGTAGCATTTCACATCAACAACACAGGGGATATACTTCATGATGCTTGATAATCCATTTGTTTTTAGAAGAAATGACAACGAATAGAAGACTGTGTTTTATAGCCTCCTCTTTGTTGCACTTTCTGACATAGGAGTTTAAAGGTGGCCGTTATTTTCTATCTCTTTATGCAGTAGGATTGTGGGTGATGCTGAAATTCCTTGTTTCAGATTTTTACTTTGAAGTTAGAAGGCTATGACCCTGTATTACTCCTTTTCCAGTATATCTGTACCTTAGTCTGGCCTTCTTTTGAACGAGTCAACTGATGATGCTGATACCACTTCTTTTAGTAGTTGGCCCCAGTAGTTGATTACTCGACACATGAACCAGTACTCTACGGAGACTATATTAGTCATTTGGTTTCGTATTCCCCTGCTGTGTCCTCTGAATTGTGCGGAGAAAAAGAGGGGATAGATCAAGTCCAGAGTCATTTATTGAAATTCTGTATAGTATGACCAGATCTCCCCTCTGTCCACAATATGATAAAGAGAAGAGGTCCAACTCATAAAGTTGATCTTTCTAGGTCAAAACAGACGTCGCAGGGATCACACTAGTGGCTGTCCTCTGAACTTTTTCCGGAAGGTCTGAGTCACCCTTCGGACAGTTTAGCAGCCGAGATCTAGCTAAGGATGTGTATAAAATGGTGAATATATCACCACTTGTTTTTGTAAGCGTTCTGATTAATGCCTACTGACCTAAATCTTCGAGCTGCAATCAATCGACTATGTCCTGTGATCTTCAAATCATAACTCACTGTGATCTCTAGGTCATTTTGGGTCAGCACTGACAGTAGAGAAGTCTCACCAGTATCGTGGATGTTGCCATCTGTGTGTCCCACGCGTATGCTTACACATTTACCTGCGCTGGTAGGCATAAGCCACTTCTCTGACCAGGCAAACAAGCTGTTTATGTGCATCTAGAGTTCACGTATATCCTCATCATCCTTAACTTTTCGCCAGAGTAGAGAACCGTAGGGGATTTCGTGATTTTCAACAGTGCATTTATATAAGGGAGAGATAGCAAGGGACCCAGGACTGTGCCTTGTATCACTCCACTCTCACTGACTTTCAGGAAAGGAGTTGAGAATTGGTCCCTGATCTTTCTCTTCTGCCAACGAGAGACTCTCTGGTCGTGCAATCAGAGTGTCAGTGATTCGGAAACAACTCAGTCTTCTGAGCTACCTAGAATGAGGTACTTGACAAAAGTTTTATTAAATTCCATTCGAATAACATCTATAGATATCCTATCATCTTTAGACTCTACCCAACTTTCCCTGACTGCGAGAAGGTTCACCAAGCAAGAAAAACTTCTGCGAAAGCCATGTTGCAAAAGACACAATAGTGGGTTGCTCCGTAGGTGGATCTCAGTGGCTTTCTAGATTACTCTTTCTCGGATTTCAGCTCCAGTGCTAGTCAAACTAGACGGTCTACAATTTGAAGGGTGATGTCTCAAAACTGCCTTGTCGATCGATGTGAAAATCGCCTCCTTTTGGTTATAGACGAGTATGCCTGCATTGAGAAAGTCTAAATATTACTAGGTGGGAGTTAAGATATGGAGGATATTACTAAAATCTACAAGGATGAGGTTTACAGGTTTTCAGTTATTCGTAGACATTAGTGAGCGTTTTATTTATACGAGATTTTTTATGTAGTAGGATTTTTCTTTGGAGCTATATTGTCTGTCAAATAAGGATAGATTGCTTTCTAGGTGAGCCGTAATAGATTTTTCCTCGTCGCAATTGGGTTTTTTGGTAATATTCGGCCTGCAGTTGATTATTTATCTCCAAAACAATAACTCAAGATTTGAATTTACTGACGCATTTTTCAGGTCACATATTAGTATGGTTTTCCCAAACCTTTGTATGCGTACTCCATAGACTGTAATCTAAGGGCTTCCTTAGTAGTATTCCATTCAGTTCCATTGATTTCGCTATATCCAGTTTATTACTAGTTATAAGTCAACAATTTTTGCTCAGTATTTTCTGAATTCAACTTGTTCCCCTGAACACTTCTAGCATTTAAATTACTTAGCACAGACTTTGATATGAAGGCCTCAATAAAATACCATGTTGGAGTTGGAACCTTATCTCTGCGTTTTTACTCTGTGAACTTGACTTTTCCTACTAGTTGTGATCAGGATACATGGCACGTCGTTATCCCTTACAAGGAAAATCTTGTTTTACTGTTTTCTGATGAATTGTGAAAGGTGAGTCAGGCAGTCATAAAGAAGATATTTCTGCTTAGACTGTATTTCTGTTTCGAGTAAGAAGCGTGATCACTCGGTCCTAGCATTTTATTTTGCCTGACAGAAGACTGTAAAGTTTGTGCTTTATTCAAAGTAAGAGTATTTTTGGTTTTTTGAGGATAGCTGAAATATCTACACTGCCTAAGTATACAGCTGACATGAAGTGCATTATGAAGCAGCAACATCAGCTTCTTGTTTTGACTGCCTAGTCCTTCTTAATAGGCTATGAAGCTAGTCACTACTGTTAGTCTTTTGAGTTTTGAGTCTACTGTGGTGTGAACCCAGAGTTCGATTTTTGTAATTTAAGACCATTTCTCAGGATTGAGTTCATTTTTCTCCTAAATTTGAACAATGTTTCAAGTGGAATTGTGTAGGATTTTGAAATCTGTGAAGTATTGGGCCATAATTTCATGTTGCTAACAATCCGATCTTAGCCTGTGAAGATGAATTCTTTCAGGCTTTTTCGCTGGTATGATCAGCTTGGTAACATGATTAACATGTACATTGGGTAACTGATATAGCTTGATATCATAGCCGTGTATCCTAATAACTAGTAGGGTGAGGGGGATTATTTTGGTTGTTTTGTGTTTTAGTGAGTGACATCACATACATTTGCTGCCACTTGAACAGCTATGTGACGAAGTTTTACATAGTCACTGATCGTATAAACCGAGTTTAGGAGCAACAAATTCTCAAAAGTAGATAGGCCATGCTATGTTTTTACTAGTAATTCACCCACCACCAGATTTCGGAACGTAGGAAAACTTACAGGTCCTCAGCACCAGTAGTATTCCTTAATGTGGAGTCGATATTTGTTGTTACCGATCAAGAAACTTTATGGTTATTTCTCTCATGACGAAAATCACCTAGCACTTATCTTTTAGCGCCAAAGGTTTTATACTCGAATACCTGTGGTCTGAATCGATGAAGATACTGACAAGATTCAGGATCTGTTGGATACTAAGTGAAAGGTTTATGAATGCTTGGGATGTGCTTATCACATCTGAGTTGTAAACTGTTACCTCAGGACTGGTGTCAGTTGATGCGTAGTCAGGCGCTGGAGAGTGAAAAAGTCAGAGACTATGCTGACGTAACGCAGATGTGCAGTCATATTTGGTCTGATAGGTTGGTGTCCGGTGAAATTTCGAAACGGACACAAATCTTAGAGTTGCTTCTATCAACTTATAGTAGTAACACTCATGAGATATCTTGATAGCTTTTAGGTTAAGAGCATTGTGAATGAGTCAACTAGGCCCTGCTCCTTTGCTGGGAAACAAGGCAGCTAAAAGTAGAGTGTGTGAGAAGAATTCGGTAATTCAGCAGTTGTTACCTATGAAGCCTGGTCAAAGTTTGGGGGAATTAACACTTGCAAAGAGTAAAAACTGGTCGAAGACTCCCCGACAGAAGTGTTCTTGAACTGAGGTGACCAAATAATGTGTTACAGACCCAAAGATAGTGACTTCCACAGGATGCTATGCTTTCTAGAGTAAGAACAGGCTGAGACAGAGAGAGAGAGAGAGAGAATTGTGAATGGCCAGATTATAAAATAACACCAGCCGATGAGTTCTCTAGATACTGACTTGAACCAGACAGGTATACTTGAAATAATGGTAACCGGTGATTCAGTTCAGAATTAATCGTACCGACATAAATGTATCTATTCTGTTTCTCTACTTAAATAATTACTTCGTGTATCTTACTTCTCCTTATATTCTTTTATCTTCATCATATGACGCCTATTAATTTTAATGAAATGAAATTCACTTTTCTTTTTTCTTATTCTTCTTCTCTCTTTTTGAATTCTACCATAAGATAAAGATGAGGAATTGTATCACAGCATAAACATTTCAGCAGAAATATTTATCTTGTTAGTATGAAATTAGAATGTGGTCAGCATATGCTTTTGGTAGCTCAACCGATAGATTACTGGCAAGTGGCATATAGAGCACTAGCTTCAGTTCTATAATGGTTAACGTTTTCCATTGACGTCAATCATCATTCATGTGTAAAGTGCACTGAGTTTAACATTTATAACCTGAAATACAAGAGCACTTGTTCGGTTTACTATTTTTAAAAAAGGAAAGGTAAAGCGACACTATACTATGGCCTTCTTAACGAAATTAAAACTTGCTTTTCTAGTTCGCCTGCACATTAAGTAAAGATGGTTTTTTAAAATATAACCTGTAGGTTGCTAGTTTGAATCTTGCTATGACTTATGTTTTTATTTCACCTTCAATCATCAACCGGTACCTATTATATCCATCTTACATGGAATAATTATTTTCCTAGATAAAAGAGATTCTGAAGGCTTATTAGTATGTCTTTATGATACTATTATGCATTTTGTATACTTTCAGAAAGAAGCAATTGGGATTGAAGCTCCATTTTTATATCTCATCAAAGAATACTATAAACTGTATACTGATTCAGTGCATCATTATAAAACTTTAATACTATAATAGTTATAATGATAATAATAATGGTAATGGTGGTAATACTTTTTATTTTTGTTGTCTTATCTTTAAACTTGATAAAATGTATCGTATATTTTTAATATTGGCGGAGATATTGATCATTGAAATTGTTTCTACTTGTTATTGGCATTAAGCTTGAAAATATTTACCGTCTAGCATAAACAATTCAATCCATTCAACACCATTTCATTGGAAAGTCGAAAAATACTGAAGATGATTGTTTGAATAAGGTTAATTTTTATGAATTTTGAAAGGAATTTTAATCAAGATTCGTATAGTTCAAGGAATTATTGCTTGTTAAGAAAAACATTATAAACTAAGTGTTAACTTAAAACTTGATTTTTGAAGAATTTGAAAATCATTTACCCAGTGGATATCAACATTTTGCATACAAACTTGATTCAGCTTATTCCTCCAAGTTAAGATACATAATGAATTTGATACTATGGAAAGATCAATTAACGGGGAATGCAATTAAAGTCGCATATCAGTAGTAGAGTTTTTTTCCTTATTGAGAAGGAAGAGACTTTTACTAACTTTTCGCTAACTTTTACCTGTTCATCTACGCAAAAAGATTTAACAATATGAAATTGAAAGTAAGTGGTTTAAAAAGTAAATTACCAGGATATTGTATTTTTCAATCTGCTTAATATTTTCCTATAATATATTTAATCAGTAGTAAATTTTCTAGAAGAAATAGCATTTCTACAATTTCATACTGTCTAGTTCTACGTGGTGACCGAATTTTATCGATTATTTTTGCAATATGATTATTAGACCGAGAGAATTACCATCACGGTGCTTTTTGATTAATGTAAGCTGGTTAGAAGAAATCAACAAGAAACCCTAGATTTAGGCTTCGTGCTTGTCGGTACTGGGGAGGAAGATGTATCTGAAACACTGAGGGAACCGAATTTTACCTCTGAGATTCGAACCCGCTGTAATGAAAAATATTACTAGTGAACTATTTAGGCCATGGTTCACCACCTATAGGACTGTATAAGATACATTGATTGATTACTAGGGAGTTAAAAATTTCATGCTGTCTAGTCAACATTTCTTTTAGGCTGAATTCTGCAAGCATTTTTTCTAGTGCCAACTAAATGAAGGTATATGACCAGGCAATCTTAACTGATACATACAGTCAAAAGTTACCTAGTTATTTAGATGACTGGTGAAAATATTTATTCCTCGAAAATAGTTATTGCCTAATCACAGTTTAATTAAACAAGTAATTTTTTAATTCTCATCATCAAACCAAAAGTCAATTAGTTAGTAACAGTGAAAGTATCCTGAAGAATCGCAAATTTGTTAATAACACTTTAGATCCTATTGCTTGTAATTTTCCATAGTTGATTGGACTGCATTGATCAACCTTTACTGATATATAGGTTCATGAGGAGATAGCTCGATATTCCCTTTAGTTTCAGTTCAGTAGTAATGATGAGTATACGTGAAGGTATATCCAGTTGACGAGTCCCAAACAGTACGAGACGCGTCTTCTTGATTCCTCTGCTAGACAACCAAGTAAATTATCATGATAAATATTCAGGCAATATCGAGGCATCCGCATAGCAGCCCATCTGCCAACACAGGTCGAACAATTCAAACCAGTATAACGACGAAGAATTACAAGTATATCAACAAATAATCATAAATAATACCCAATGTACAAGAGGTGGCTACCGTGTATCAATGACCATGTGGATAACGCTTTAGTGTTTGAAGCGATGGGTACGCGGTCTGAGTTTCAGTGAAAACAACATCACTTACTGGGGTGCAGGTACAGCCGACGAGTCCCAAATAGGACGAAACACACGTCACAACCAAGTATATTTATAATGATGAATATAGTTGCAAATTAAAAAAATGTATAAGTGTATTCTAAAATGAAATTTTCAGTGACAGAATGCTCACTAACATAACAGTAATGACTCTTAATATAGTGTCGTTATATAACAATGGAAAAAGTGGGAGAGGTCAGATAGAAGAGTGAGCTGCTTAGATGGAGTTCATCTCGAAACAATACAAATTTATTATACCAATTTGATTTTTTTCTATATAAGAATTCAACTACGACTTGAGTGATCTAGTAGGGTTGTGGTGATAATTTTTCGATAAGCTCACCGAAAATCGAGATTCATTCAGTCAAAATGTTGATACAATGAACAAATATTTGATCATGACAAAAGAAGGGAAGTGGAATAATTGCGCTTTGTAATAAATGAAACTGCATCTAGGAGAAGGACGATGGCAAGTACTAGACCACATTTTAACTCAGATTTTTCTTGTCTATGTCACTACTTTTTACTTTTGTTGATTTAAATGTTTTACACCGTTGCACAATCTGGCAACTTGAGCAAATGGATTTCCGATTAAAGTTCTACTTTACTTTTTCTATGTGTTTAATAAAAATTTTCACTAAGCATTGTTCTGAGGGATATGAAGTGCTTGCACACATCATTACAGTTAGGTCAATCCGCTGAAATTGCATTCTTTACTTAAACAAAAAATATCAGTATTACCAACTAAAATAATGAAAACTATATCAAAGTTTTCAGTGTTTTAAGTAATCCTTTGTACAATGAATTAATAGTTTACAGTCTAATAGCTGATGAAATGGAGGTGATTGGTTCACTGGTGTAGATTTTAACACATATTTAGGTCTAACAAAAAAGAAAATTTCCACTACTGCAACTATATTCGTCAACTTTGAAAAAGCCTTTGACAGCGTCGACCGAGAAGTAATTCGGAAACTACTTCAACACTACAGTCTTAGTACCAAAAACCTTTATCAACCTCATTAACAGCTATATGCTATGTGATGCTACATGCCGAGTGATACGCAATGGAAAGATCGGTGACGCCTTTGAAGTGAAGACAGGAGTAAAACAAGGCTGCCGCCTACTATCACCCATGATCTACCTGATTGCGTTGTGATGGACTGGACTGGATCATACATCAAACTGTGAGGAGCGAGAAGATGGGCATACGCTGGCTGGACCAATGAAAAAACTCCAGAGGGAGATTTGGACTTCCCTGATGATGATCTTCGTCTAATCTCTTATGTTGCACAAACTCGAAGATGTACAGGGAAAAATCAACAAGTTGGCAGAAGAGACGAGGCAGTGAAGACGGGACTTCAGGTGAATGTGGAGAAGACGGAGGTGATGAAGATATCCAACCAGCAACAAGCACTAATCACCATCTACGGAAGAAGTGTAAAGGAAGTAGTCTCTTTCACCTAACACCCACCAAGGCAGGGCAGCATCTTTCAACTACAGGTGGCGGCACAGATGAGGATGTCAAAACCAGGACTGGAAAGACAGCAAGACAGGCCTTCCTGCATTAATCTGAAATCAGTGTGGAGACCTAGTGCACTGCACTCAGCATAAAGCGTGAACAACATCCGGATTCTCAACATTCATGTCAGTCAAGTCAGTACTTCCTTCTATGTGATGGTTGAGAGACTTGGTGGGTTACGCAAGCATTTCCAACAAACTACAAACATACATTATCAACAGCTACTGCCTATGCTTACTCGATAATGAAAATCAGATTGCCGGAATACTAAGAGTAAGCAACAAGGAACTGTGGCTGTCTGACTGGCAACGAACCAACCAAGAACCCATCGCCCAGTAAATATGCGGTAGAGGAAAGTGGAGATGGATTGGATTAGACATACACTGAGATGACCTATTGAGGACATCAGGTGTCAGGCCAGGTCGTCGAATGGAATCTAAATGGGATTTGACGAGTTGTGTGTGGCAGCTGAGGGTGATATGGAGGAGATCATGTGAGGAAGAAATGAATGCTTGTGGGCAGTGATGGGAGTGTGTTGAAAAGATTGCAGAGTGGAGAGTGCAATGGAAACGTGCTACTGAAGTTCTATGTTCCTCTAGGAACTCAAAGGACAAATAATAAAAATTGAATTGCAACCACAATATTTTCTTTCACACTTGATCACAACAGAAATAGTTGGTTCTCGATCTACAACTACTGTTTATAACCCTCATCTGCACGTCTTAATAAAGGTTTTGTGAAAGCATTTAAAAGGCTGGATTAAACAGTGGATTTGTTTATTAAATCCCCAACCAGTTTTACATACATTTCAAGAAAAGCAACTCTCTGCTGGTTTATTTATCATGTTAGGATAGAAATTAAAATTCTTGTGAAATAGGATTTTCTAGAGATTTTATTGCTAGCGTAAACCGATGAAAAACACTAGTGTTAACAGGTCGCACTTATGAACATGTTGATGGGGTATATAAGCAGACCAAAGCATTTCCCCCTTTCATTTAGCCCAGCTTGCCTTTAAGACATTTAGAGAATTCAAACATGTCAGCAACTACTGCTTTGTTTGAAAAGTTCTAAAGGTCTCAAATGATCTCCAGTATCAGCATCGGGTTAGGTAATCCATAGAATTTAGTGACAGGTTTTCCTACCAATTATTATTAATTTGTAGTCATCTATGCATCATTTGTGTTGCACATATACTTCATCTTCCATGTTGCTACGGGATTTTCTTCAAGATTTGAGCAGCTAAGAACATCGGGATCTGGACACCGTGGTTCAAGCGTGAGTAGTGGATTTTACAGTAGTTATAAAATATCTGCTATTGGATTTGAGAATTAAGTAGACACCTCATGATATGATACACGCTTATTTAAAGTAAACGGTCAAAAAGAATATAAAGAACTGAGTATTTTTATGATGGTACATTTTATAGAAGACTTGAATCTAGCGTTTCAGGCAGCTAAAGCTGTGATAGGTTTTGAAACTAACACAATAACCTTAATGAACATGAAATAAATGATGGGAAAAACGTTTCATTCAAAGAGATTATATTTAAAACTCTATGTTTTAAGTAGTAGGATAATGCATTGAACTGGCACTTAGCCAACAGATGTGATTAATAAATGACCTGGCTATTCACCTATCAACCTAGTGGTGTTGTTTGTCATGGTAGTTGGTTGAAGGCACTCGGTAGGAAACCCTGGACCTAGGTTTCGTGCTTTTTG